GAATGACTACCCACTCCAGTATTATATTGTTGCCTGGAGAATTCCATGGACAGAGGAGCCTGGTGGGCTACAGTCCATGGGGTTGCAAAGAGCTGGGCACAACTGAATGACTAACACTTTTACTTTCTTTCAGAATTAACACAAGACCATTGGAGTATAGGGCTTCCCTTGTGGCTCAGCTGGTAAAGAATCCGCCTGCAGTGTGGGAGACCTGGGTTTGATTCCTGGGGTGGGAACATCCCCTAGAGAAGGGAAAGGCTACCCACTCCAGTATTCTTGCCTAGAGAATTCCATGGACTGTACAGTCCATGGGGTCGCAAAGAGTTGGACATGACTGAGCGACTTTCACTTCACTCACATGGGAATATGCTATTTTTTGGTCAGATTTATCAATTTTTTTCCCTATGGTAACTGGTGATTTAGATATTTTCATTTTTCTGCAATCAGTTTTGGTAATTTTTACTTTCCTAGAAAACTATTCTGTTTTCAAATTTGTTTTCATAAAGTAGATCAAAGTGTTCTGTTACTCTTTTCATTTAGTCTGTAGCTGTGGTTATTTATCCATTTCTAATTTTGTGCATTTAGGGTTTTTAATTAAATTAGCAAGTGGATAATCTGTTTTATGGTCTTTTCTTTTAAAGAAAGTTGTTGGCTTTAAAAAAAAATAAAGTTGTTGGCTTTAATTATTAGTTCTAACATTTGTTTTCTAGTGTATTAATTTCTGCCGCTAGTTTTATTTGCTTAGTTCTATTTTTGTGGCTCTTAACCTTCTTTTGTTGAAAGCATAATCCATTTATTTTGTTTTTATGTATTAATGTAAGTATTTAAGACTATCATTTCTTTAACCATTGCTTTAATCATCCATATCCTCTCACTTCTGATATTTTCATTATTGTTATTTTCTAGGTAGTCTACAATTTTAGATTGTCTCCTTTTTGACTAGAGTGGAGGATATTTTCTCCCTTTCATTTTCTATGTGCTAGAAATATTTGTTTTTCATTAATTTTTAATGTTATTGTATTGTGACTAGATACAAGTCTGTGTGTATTAGTTGCTCAGTTGTGTCTGACTCTTTGTGACCCCCTGGACTGTAGCCCGCCAGGCTTCTCTCTCCATGGGATTCTCAAGGCAAGAATACTGAAGTGGGTTGCCATTTCCTTCTCTAGGGGATCTTTCCTCCTCAGGGATAGAACCTGGGGCTCCTGCATTGCAGGCGAATTCTTTACTGCCTGAGCTACAGTAGTAGCTCTTCTACTACTTTTCGGTTTAATATGTAGTCAATAAAAAAATTTTTAATGGGCCCTTGAAAAGAAAGTAGAGTCTGTATTTTTTATATGAAGAAATTTAGATTTTTTTCATTATCTTTTGACTGTCATATCTGTCATCAGCTGAAACAGTCTCCTATTTTGTTTCTGCTTTTTTTCTACCTATACATTTTCTATATATTTGCTTTATGAATTTTGATGCTATATTATTTGGTAGATAAAGATTCAGGATAATTAGATCTTGCCTTTTTTAATCATTAATATTATAGTGCCCTTCTTTGTCTTATTATTTTTGCCTTTAATTCAACATTTTTTAAATTATATGAGTATCATGGCCCTTGGAATATTTTAAATTACCTAATTTATTAAATATTTATTGAATGCCTACTATGTGCCAGTCACTAGGTATCAGATGAATGACACACACAAGATCTCTGCCCTTGTGGGAATGTATGCTCTGAGAAAAACAAAACAGAAAAAGGATAATTAAGGATAAGTTGTCTCTATTTTAGATTAGGCGGTCAGGAAAGGCCTGTCTGCCTGATAGCATTTATCATCCTATTACTTCCCACTCACCGTCTTGTTTGTTTGCTTCCTGACCAGGGGAAATGCCAGGTGGAACAGTTTGTACCCAAGGAATTTTTATAATCTTAAGAAGCTAGAGGTGGGCTAAGGTCCAAATGAGAAGAGAATGGGGAATGTGTGACTATGAATTTCTGACCCACATGAGGGATGAGCTAGCCAGGATGGGGACTGGAAATGAGGGGAGTGAAGGAGATTTTGCTTTCCATTCTATCTCATTTTGGCCACCATTATGTGTATTATTATTTTTAAGGAAATATTTTCAGGCTCCAACATGACTACTGAATGGGTATTCTGTCTGATGGTTTAATTCAACTGCTGGAATTTCCTGTCACGAGGCAGTACTTAGCATGATGCTGATTGCTCACAGGCTAAAGCAGGAAACCAGATCTTCTGGCTTAGAGAGTTTAACTCTTCAAACTCAGACTAAAGAGATGTCCTTTGCTTTGTCATTCTTTATTATACCGAAGTTTGACTTTTTATACATATTTAAGTAAACCTGGACTTCTTTTCCTTGGATATACTTTTCTATTACAAGATGAGAATTTCTTATTTCACCTCACAATTGACAGCTTTTAAGTTTTCTGATAGTTTTTTCTTATAAGTATATAATGTATACATATATAACACATATTAAAATTACATACACACACCCTTAACTCTTGAATCTGGAATTTATTTTGATATATAATATATGGTGCAGCTTCAAATAACACTGCTCCTCTGCTATTGTCTCAAAAATGTATTAATAAATCTTTATCTTCTTGTTATGGAAGGTGAATTATACATTTTTATAGTTTGATATTAAATATGTCTCTGGACTTTCAATTCCATTCTATTAATCAGTAAAACACTTTTAATTACAATTGCTTTATATTATGCTTAATGCCTTACTTAGCTCCCATTTCTTCTGTTGCAAAGTATACATTTTATTATACAGTAGTCCCCCCTTATCTGTGGGGGATACATTCCAACACCCTCAGTGGATGCCTGAAAACACGGATAGTGCTGAGCCCTGTATATACTATGTTTTTTTTCCTATACATATGTACCTATGATAAAGTTTAATTGGGTGGTGTGTGTTAGTCACTCAGTTGTGTCCATCTCTTTGAGACTCCCACTATAGCCTGCCAGGCTCCTCTGTCCATGGAATTCTCCAGGCAAGAATACTGGAGTGGGTAACCATTTCTTTCTCCAAGGGGAATTAGGCAGAGTAAGGGACTAACAATAATAAATAATAATACAGTAGAATGTTATAGAAATATTCTACAATAAAAGTTATGTGAATTCTGTCTCTCTCCTTGATCAACTTCTCAACTCTGCCAGAAATATGGCAGTGGCTTCTTCATTGACAGATGCAGCCTTTCCAGTAACTTTTATGTTTTTCAGTACAAACCTATTCCTGAGTCTTTATAACCATCCCTTACTTACAGTAGTCACTTATTTCAGGGAATCCCTTGCTGAAGTCTTCATATAGGCTTCATGTTTTCTGGTGCAACACATTGCTGTCAGCCAGAACATGTTCTCCATTCATGTCTTGCATCCACAAATTTAATGTCTTTTCGTCTTAACTAAACCCTTATCATGCACTGTGGCCACAACTTTTGCACTTTGAGGTATGATAGCATAATGAGCACAATTGTTTTTTTCCTTTTTCATAATTTGACAGATAGAAGATTCATTCTTACCATAGATCTTAGCAACCTCAGCATATGATTTGTTCCCTATCTTTATTAAGTCAAGAACTTTCACCTTTTCACTTAAAGGAAGATCTTTATGGTTTCTCTTTGGCAGATCTAAATTGCCAGCATCACTACTCTTGGGCCTTAGGGCCATTATTAAGTAAAATAAGGGTTACTTCTACACAAGAACTGTGATACTGTGACAGTCCATCTGATAACCTAGATAGCTACTAAGTGGCTAATGGGTGGGATCCACTGGACAAAGGGATGATTTACATCCTGGACAGGATGGAGCAGGACAGATAGAGATTTCATCACACTACTCAGAATAGCACACAATTTAAAAGTTTTGAGTTGTTTATTTTGGGAATTTTACATTTACTATTTTTTGGACTGTAGTTGACTATAGGTAACTGAAACCATGGAAAGTGAAACAGTGGATAAACGGGGATTGCTGTATCCTTCTTTATTTTGCAAGTTAACAAAACGAAATTCTACAGTTAAAAATTCCTGTTGAAAATTCTGTTTGGAATTGCATTAGAAGGGTATATTTAAAATCCAAAATAGCAGATATTTCTGAATGGCCTGCTTGATGTTTTTTGGCACGAGAACATGGACAGAAAGTATACATGCCAGATTCATGATATAGCTTGCATGTAGAGAGGGAGCAGGGTTATAGAAGTAGGGGGGTGAAACAAAGGGGTATTATTTATTTATTTTAAAAACTCACAGGGAATTCCCTGGTGGTCCAGTGGTTAAGACTGCCTTCCAATGCAAGGGACATGAGTTCAATCCCTGGTCAAGGAACTAAGATCCCACATGCTACACTGTATGGCCAAAGCAATAAATAAATAAAATTTAAAAACTAAGAATCATGAAACATAGATGGCAATGTATTAAAATATCCTAATTCTGGGCAGTAGGTGGGGACATGAATATTTATTATAGCAATCTCTGTATGTTTTTAAACATTTGAAATGTTTCACAGTTAAAAACAACAAATGTAGCAGGATAACTACACTTGAAAGGCCCAGAACACAGCACATTCAATCTGAGTGAGTGGGGTGGTGTGTATATCCAGACTTTGGAGCAAGACTCTCCATGTTCAAATCCTAGTTCTGCCACTTACTGCTAATAGCTCTGTGACTCAGAGCAATGACTTAATCTGCTTATGACTCAGTTTCCCCAGCCATAAAATCAGGACAATAATTATAACAGCTACTTCCTAGGCTTGTTGTGGGGATTAAAGAAGTTAAGACATTGAAATCACTTAAAACCATGTCTGCCACCTAGATGTTAGCTATCAATGTTATATATCATATATTAGTATTACTAATATTGTTATTACATTTACTACCTATATTATATTGTTTTGTTTCCATTTTAAAATTTACATAAATGAGGTTATCTAAAGTTATGGGGCCATCTGCAGTGTGCTTGTTTTATCCAGCCTTCATCTGCTATTTTGCAGGGAAATGGCTCATTCCAAGGCTAGCTTTTCATGGGCAACCCCATTCCATCCTTGCCTTGAGAACCCAGGACTGGACTTGTCAAGCTACCGAGCAGTCTCTTCTCTTGACCTCCTTGGAGACTTTAAGCACTCCTCCAAAAAAACAGAGGAAACCTCTGTTTATGAAGAGGAGAGCTCCCTAGCCTCCATGCCTCGCCCGCTGCGCAGCCGTGCCTTCTCAGAAAGCCACATCACCCTGGATCCTCAGAGCTCCCAGATCTGGGAGCAGCATAGGAAGGAGCTCTTCAACAAAGTTGATGAGACCCAGCCAGATGCTCTGGGTGCCAGGAAGAAGGCCTTTCCTCCTCCTCGCCCTCCTCCTCCCAACTGGGAGAAGTACAGGCTCTTCCGTGCAGCCCAGCAACAACAACAGCAGCAAAAGCAGCAGCAAGAGGAGGAAGAAGAGGAGGAGGAGGAAGAGGAAGAAGAGGAGGAGGAGAGGGTAGAGGAGGAGGAAGAAGAGGAGGAAGCGGGGGAGGAGGAGGAGCTGCCACCCCAGTATTTCAGTTCAGAAACCACTGGTTCCGGTGCCTTCCATCCTGAGGAGGTCCTGGAGCAGCCCCAGCTTCCGGCCTTTGGCCACCTGGAGGCCCCAAGGCAGGGCTCACAAAGCCTCCCAGCAGAGCCAGAATCCTTTGCTCTGCGTTCCAGCGATTTCCTGCCTCCAGTAAGGGGCCACTTGGGATCTCAAGCTGAAAAGGCTCAACCCCCTTGTTATTATGGCATTGGTGGGCTTTGGAGGACATCAGAGCAGGAGACCACTGATTCCAAGTAAGTGCTTATGAAAAACATTAGGTCTCTGAAGAGGGCACAGCATGAATTTGAATTCCACCTCCACCATTTGGCAGCTGCATGACCTTCAACTGGCCAATTAAACTATTCCCAGTCTCATTTTTTCTCACCTGGAAAATGGGCATGATTCTACCTATTTCACGTGGTTCTTGTGAGAATGAGGATAATCCATGTAAAGGACATAGCCCCATGCTTAACACATAGTAGGTGCTCAGTAAGTGGCTCAGATGGTAAAGAATCTGCCTGCAATGCAGGAGACCTAGGTTTGATCTCTGTGTCAGGAAGATCGCCTGAAGAAGGGCATGGCTACCCACTCCAGTATTCTTAAGTGGAGAATCCCATGGGGTCACAAAGAGTCAGAGTGACTAACTGAGCGACTAACCTTATCCCTAAATAACACTATTGAGATACTGTATTTATCGTTTCTAGTTTGTCTTTAAGGTACTCATCAGTTTCTGGCCCCTGAGGGAGAAGGCATTAAACCTTTGTTGTCTTTTTCCAGAAGCATGGTTCAAATCCTCTTCTGCCTTTTCTTTTGCTTGCTCTCTAGAATAAATCGCCAGCTCACAACCTGACTGCCTGGGCTTCTAAATTCTTCCCCTGTGCCCAAAATCAAAGGTGTTCTTGGGGTTGACCATTCCTAACAGCCAAAGGCATTCTTTTCACCTTCCACTTTATTCATCACCCCACCCTTATTTCCTCTGCCTCTTTCCTCTGAAGCATTTGCTTCAGTGAGCAAATGGTACTACCAAAAGTGGTAGTTGACAGAGTTAGCTGTCTGGGCAGAGAGGCTGAAGCAGGAGTGTAGACTGACTGGAGAACTGTTCCTGTCACCGTGCCAGTGCTCAGCAGCATGCCCCGCAACATGTGGTTGTCCTCTGTGCTCCAAAACAAAAGAGCTTTGACGTTCAGTTCTGCCAGTCCTCCTGCAGAGAGCTCCACCCACTCTCTGCTGGGGGTGGGGATAAGGGGCAGGTGTCTATCCTTTAAATGCTTTCCTTAAATAACATTATAGAAGGAACTTGCCTGAGTTTTGTTGCTATTAGAAGTACCTTGTTATTGTGTCTTTTACTGATGGACAAATTCATTAATTGGTTATCTGGAGCTGCTGCTGCTGCTACTGCTGTCACTTCAGTTGTGTCCGACTCTGTGCGACCCCATAAACGGCAGCCCACCAGGCTCTACCATCCCTGGGATTCTCCAGGCAAGAACACTGGAGTGGGTTGCCATTTCCTTCTCCAGTGCATGAAAGTGAAAGGTGAAAGTGAAGTCACTCAGTCGTGTCCAACTCTTCGCGACTCCGTGGACTGTAGCCTACCAGGCTCCTCCATCCATGAGATTTTCCAGGCAAGAGTACTGGAATGGGTTGCCTTCTCTATATCTGGAGCTAGCTAAGAAGTTTTCCACCCTCACATGCTACAAGCTCAGCATTTACAGGGCCTGGCTCCCAGACATGGAGATCTCTTATCAGATCTCTAATGGCTCTTTCTCAAGCTGCCCATCTATCTGAAAACATTCTTATTGTAATTAGAGAGCATCATGGAGTTTCCATGATCTCTAGTGATCTTTGTATGAGTAAGAAATAAGGTTTTATCATTTTAACCCAATGAGATTTCTAGGTTGTTTATTTATTGCAATGGTGATGTAGCCCAAAGTTAATAATACAACACAGATGGGGTTTTGATCCTGAGCCCAGGTTCTAGTATTGACCACTTGATTCCCCATCTCACTGATTATGATAGAAATTGCAGCTCCTTGAATAGCTCAGGCTACTCTAAAATCCTGTGCTCCAGATCTTCTAATAATTTTATAAGTACCTAACACTCTATTAAACCCCATTCTTTGAAAATACACAAAAGAAAGCTTGGTGGAAAGTGACTGTGGATTGTTATCTATCACAGCAGGGAAAAGGTAAGCCAACATAGCACATAATTGACCCTTAATATTTTGGAAGAGAGAATGAATACATGAATGAATGAACACATATTAAGCATATGCTCTATGCCAGACACTGCTTGTCATTTTATATCTGTTATTGAATTGAGTCCTCCCAATGACCCTATGAGCCCTTATCCTTATTTGACAGATAAGGAAACTAAAGCTGATTAAAATAAGGGACTACTTAACTCTGAATTGCACAGAAAAGACTCAAAGCCAGATGTGACTCTAAAATCTATGCTTCTTTTGCCATTCTGGGCAGCCCCTCTCAGGAAGCTCTGGTTCCTGCAGTAGCCAGGCCTTCACTTAGACCTCATGTCTCCTAGAAGGCAATGTGCACCAGAGATAGTAGTTAAAGGCCCCAGGCTTACCCCTGCCAGCCTCCTAGTCCTTCCTCTTCTATGTACTTCCATTCACTGTGGCACCTTGTCCAGAGAGAAGGAAATTGCTAGTACTAAGGACTTTATAACTTATTCCATAGATTTGTTTGTTCTTAATGACTGTGGGATGTGAGGGGAAATACTTGCACAAAAACCTGGCTTGTGGTGGCAAAAAATCAATTATATATGCTTCTTTGAGTGATGGAGATTTAAGGAACAACATCTTTCCCAACATAGCTAATATTTCTTTGCCTATTCTCTATGTGCCAAGTATTGTTCTAAGCACTTTTGTGTATTGACTGACTTAATCTTCACAACAAACCTATGAAATAGATACCATTAGTCTCCTGCATTTTTTTAGATGAGGAAAGTGAGGCACAGGGATATAAAGTAAGTTGCAGAAGATCATAAGTAGCCAGAACCCAGACTGTCTGGCTCACTGTGCCCACTGCATCACCCCGGGAACTCCTCAAGAAGATCCTATTCCAGACCCTCAGAGAGCACAGAGTTCTACCCAGCAGGAAGTGCCTTTAAGGTTTTATAAGAGAAAGTAGTACTAAGGGCAAGTAGATGTGTAATATTTTGAATCTAAAACATAAAAAAAAGACATCCTAATCTCAGCCAAGTTAAACTAGAGTATCTCTATAACCTACATACTCTTTTGTTAAAAAATGTCAGGATACAAGTAGAAGCAGGTGAGTGGAATTATCGAGTGTTGGTTAAATCTGATAACTGATTCAAGTACAGGTATAGTTTGCTTTATGGACTCTATGCATTTCTTCTCAGTGGTCTGGAGAAGGAATCTGCTTTTTGTATCAAATTTTGTTATCAAAGTCAGATGATGTTGTTATCGATCTCCAATAACCTTTGCCCTATTAATGGAGTGAATGAGGAAAAGAGCCTAGAACATAGTGCCTGATATGATACACTATAATATAGTACAGGGCCATGTCTGCTAGAGAACTGAGTCACATCCACTTTCAAAATTTTTCTCCAGTTTTACAGACTTTTGGACTCTGTGGGAGAAGGCGAGGGTGGGATGTTTTGAGAGAACAGCGTCAAAACATGTACATTATCAAGGGTGAAACAGATCACCAGCCCAGGTTGGATGCATGAGACAAGTGCTCAAGGCTGGTGCACTGGGAAGACCCAGAGGGATGGGATGGGGAGGGAGGTGGGAGGGGGGATCAGGATGGGGAACACATGTAAATCCATGGCTGATTCATGTCAATGTATGGCAAAAACCACTACAATATTGTAAAGTAATTAGCCTCCAACTAATAAAAATAAATGGAGAAAAAAATAAATAAATGGAAAAAAAAAGAAAAGTAGGAACCATAATATTACACAATAAGGATAGTACCTTATTAGCCAAGACATTTGAAATCATTGCCTTCAATTAACCTTCAATATTTCTTTTACATAAAAAAAGTATTTTAAGAGTAAGCCAGTTTCCAAATGCTGCTTAACTAGTGAATGACTAAACTGGAATCAGAAGCTGGGCAGTCTGACACTAATGTCCATGTTTTTATATGCAACATTGTCTTCACTTCACCAAAAGAAAGTTCGCAAAATATAAATAGCAAAGGGCCCAGAAAGGGCCAATGCAAGTGTTCTGCTATTCTAGTTTCATCAACCAGTAAAGCTATTTAATTTAAAAAAAATAAAACTTCTGTGCTTGCTTTCAGTATTTCATAACTCTGAACTCACACACATGCCCTAAATATTTTTCTGATATAATTCTTTTAGGAATTCCCTAAGTTCATACATTCATATTCCCTCTAGAACATTCCCTCTTCTTTGCTAACATATAATCCAGCCAACAAATTCCTTACATGCAGGGTTTTATAAGATGTCAAGTTGTCCCTTTGGCAGTATAATATAGTGGCTAAAAGCACAGATTCTGGAGTTAGGTCACCTGGGTCTAAATTTTGAATTTGCCATTTACTGTCTGATGACCCTGGGAAAGTCACTTTACCTCTCAGTGCCTCGTGTTCCTTATCTGTAAAATGGTTGTCATGAACATTACATTTTATATCTATATTTACACACACATACACACACACACACCACACACACACATCTTAGGACAGCTCCTGGGCATAGTAAGCACTATGTGAACATTAGCTAGTAGCAGTCTTTTATCCATGCTATTAGCTTAAAAACCTACACATAAAATGAATACCTAGGATGAGGAATATTGTCATGCCTAAATTTTTTGTGTGTGATGAATTTGGAGACAGCGTAGTGTGAATCAGTAAATAGCTGTGGAGCATTTTACCCATTATTTTTGACCTTTATCTAAGAGCTGCAAATAGCTGCAAAAATGACTAATGAGTTTCTCCTATTTTTCCTTTCAAACTGCTGGAGGTTAGTAAAGGGGCAGTGACACAGGCAGGTGGAGGGTAGGGGTGGCTGGTAGGCAGCAAGAACATAGTGGGTGTGGGTCTCCCCCTTACATAAACCATAGACAGAATTATCTGCCTCTCCATTACTGAACCCTAACATTGAAGCATTTCTTTTCATTTCTTTCCTCACATCAGACCAGAAGCTTTGATGGCGGAAGAGTCCAAACCCAAACCAGCTTGGAGCCAGAGCTACTTCTTTCCTGAGGAGCAGTTCTCTTTCATGGGCTGGGGCTCGGATAAGCAGCACCTCAACCCTGCAGGCTTCAGTGAACCCAAGACAACAGGGTTTGCTATTACACTTGTCAAGTCCATGGTTACTGCTTGTTCTATTCCCATTTCATTCTGCAACCATGGAAGAGGCTGGGGCCATTGGGGATATACCAGAAGTGAAGAAATGTTATCTCTTCTCAGGCCAAAGGCCTGCGCCACATCAGGCAATCTCAGAAGAGCTCACGAGAGCTGTTGTACACCATGACAAGTTTCTGGCAGGGGTGCTAAACCCAGCCTCCAACATGGTGACAACTGCTGAGGTCCTGGGTGACCTCTTTGCTGTGGGAGAGCTGTGGTGTGTGTGTGGGGGGGGGTTATTTCCAGCAGGAGTGGCACCGCCAAGAAAGAAGAAATGATGAGGGTGTCCAGGAAAGCCATGGGATGCCTTTGTAAGCCAGCAGACTAGATAGACCTGGGGGTGGGCTGGCATCCAGGATGGGTAGGAGGGAGGCCAACAATCTTAAAGGATGAATAGCTAAGGCCTTAGGCATGTTCTTACCATGTAGCCCCTTCCTAGGGATCCATATATTGAGACTATGAACCAAGGAGAATCATTGATGATCAGAACCCAGAACTTTAGGAGACTATTTTTTTTCTGGATTTTAGTAGGGTATTAACGATCAAACCCATTGATCTCTAAAGAAGTCTTACTAGCTGTGGAAGTCAGGGATTTAGAAATAGCCTTCTCAGTTCTTCAAGTTGGCCTTAACTTGGTTTCTGGAAAGAGCCTTCATATGGCCTGTTTATGTTTGAGCAGGCCCTCCTAGTACATTATTTCCTTATTTTACAACTCCTTGGTGAACCTGGGTCCCATTTTACAAATGGAGAAATAAAGAAGAAAGGTCAGCAGATTCTCAACAGAGGTACTCAAATGTTCATTTTTTTGTTTCCACAGACAAGATTTTCAGCACTTCTCACCTCCTCAGGGGGCCCCAGGGATCCCTACCTCTTACTCAGCTTATTACAATATTTCTGTGGCCAAAGCAGAGCTGTTGAACAAGTTGAAAGACCAACCTGAAATGTTAGAAATTGGCCTAGGAGAGGAGGAAATTGACCACGAACTGGCTCAAAAAAAGGTGATGTTTTTGGCATGCCTTCGAGGTTTTCAGCATTTGCTTGAGTGTGGCTAGAGGTTGACCTACCTTCTACCTTCTCCAGAATATCTTGGTGCATTCCTATATCTTTAGTATAGAAATCAAGTAGCCTGTCTGAGTTTCTCACAAATGCAACTCCAGTCTCTTTTTGATCTAGTCAATAGCAGTAATAATAGTAACCATCATCATCATCATCATCATCATCACCACAGTGTTGCTCAAATCCTAAAAACAACTCTACAAGGTAGACATTACTGTGTTCTTTTTACCAGTTGAGAGGACCAGGTTACCCAGGGTTACAGACTAAGGGTAAATCCAGGACTCGAAATCAGTGCTCTCTGACTTTCTACTCTGAAATAAGCAAGCCTTGTTAAATAACTTGTTATCCAAGGCACATCCAAATTTTTGCTAGTGAGCTCTAACCGGTGGCAGCAATTGATTGTATTCTCTGTAACTTTCTGGAGGAGAGAACAGACTGACCAAGAAAGAAAAAAAATTATATAGGCCAGTCAACTTTAATATTTATTTGCAAAGATAATCAATTATCTCTTAAAAATACTAGAATAGATAAATCGAGGTGGTGGTGTTGTTCTGAAGCCTCCCGTTTCTTCCTCCAAGTACCCCTAGCATGGGTTTCTAATCAAATTCCTGGAATCACTTTGCCCTCCCTGCACTTACCCCTTTTATTTCATAAGCAAATAGGGTTTCCATGGAAACCTCAAAGGCCCAATTTACTACTTGGTAGACATCTGAGCTCAATGTAAATTGCTCTTCTACCCATATTTATTATTAAGGACACGACCTGTACAAAAGCTCAAGGCCATTTGCAAGAGACCCCCACCACTTTCCAATCTGAAGCAAAGGGTCAGGGAAAGAATAGGCATGGTGGAATCAAAGTCTTATTGATTCAGATGCCTGCTTCCTTGGATTCCATGTTTCCTGAGCATGACAAGGCTCCTCCTGGCTTAGCCAGGACCTTTTTATTAGGAGCAAACCTAATAAATGTCTGACGAGGAGAAGCGAGAAATTATCAGAAATGGCAAAGCACAGAACAGCAGATAGTGAGTTGAAGTGATTGTGGGTAGGCTAGGACAGTTTTTGTCTCTGAAGAAAATAGGTAAGGAAGGTCACCAATCTGCAATATCCCAGAACAGTCACTCAGCTCTAGCTGGTCTGTGATGACTCCACAGCTCTATCCACTACACTTTCCCTAGAGCTGAAGTTCAGCTTGCAAAGCCCAAGTGCTGAGAAGCAAAGGGCTGTGTCCACTTTCATCCCTCCAGATCTATGGAACCTAAGAGCTGGGGTTAGGTAGGTGATTTTCCAAGTTGATCGTGTGGCCCCCAGCCTTCCCTTGTCCTTGGCATTGAGTTTTGTTTGGGAAAGCAGAGGGTGTGGATATAACTGAGAGCCTCTTGGCATCTAATTGTGTTGCCTGATTCATATCATTGATCCTTAATTCCCAGTGGGTTTTGGGGTTTTCCCTAAATGTCTACCTGTTACATTTTACATTAAGATAATGGTGGTCTCCTGACTTTTGACTGCTTCTGAAATATGACAACTGGCCCAGACTCAGAGCAGGCTCTCTTGTCCTTTTTTTTTTTCATTTATTTTTATTAGTTGGAGGCTAATTACTTTACAATATTGTAGTGGTTTTTGCCATACATTGACATGAATCAGCCATGGATTTACATGTGCTCCCCATCCTGAACCCCCCTCCCACCTCCCTCCCCATCCCATCCCTCTGGGATGTGTACCAGCCCTGAGCACTTGTCTCATGCATCCAACCTGGACTGGCGATCTGTTTCACACTTGATGATATATATGTTTCAACGCTATTCTCTCAGATCATCCCACCCTCGCCTTCTCCCATTAGAAAGATGGTAATGATAACCCTATATGCAAGACAGAAAAAGAGACACAGATGTACCAAACAGACTTTTGGACTCTCTTGTCCTTTGTCACTGTGGACATCTCTAGATAAATGACTAGAAAGGAATATACTCTAGATAACTACAGGCCTATGGTCTGAGAGTTCCTGGCCAGGAAGAGTACACTGAAGCATACTTCCTATATACGAGACAGTATTCTAAGCATGTAGCATGTATTAATTTTGTTATGTATTTCATTCACATGACAACACTATGAGGTTAGTAATACTCCATCTTTTAGATGGTAAAATTGAGGCACATAGAAGTTGAGTAATTTGCTCAAGTTCACACCACTATTTTGTGTCAGAGCTGGAGTTCAAACCCATGTAGTCTGGCATTAGAGTCCTTGCCATTAACTATAATGTGATACTGACTGCGAAGGCTGGAGGCAACCTGGGACAGTTGTATTCTTGTAAGGACCTTGCAACTAGACAGGTGCCCATTAGCTCAGAGTGCCTGGTGATTGTGGTGGCAGTTGCAGTAGCAGTAGTATTAGTAACAGCATCAATAAATATGTATCAGGCACTTAATGTACCAGGCACAATACTAAGTATTTTACTTCTATGATCTCATCTAACCCTTACAACAATGGAGGGTTGGGGAGAGGAGACACACTTCTCCAATTTATAGATGAGAAAACAGAAGTTGTAGTAGGATTGGGTATCTTGTCCAAGGTCACACAGTTTGGAGGAGGTAGAATTGAAAACCAGATATCTCTAACTCCAAAACACCACTCTACCACACTACCTTTCCATAAGTGCAGTTCCACAACTGGTTACACCTATAGGGGAGACAAATCAGAAGACACACATAGTGCTTCCCTGGAGAAACTTAGCCAGTAGTAGGAGAGGGATCAGATGCACATACAGGAAACAAAAAGTGAACAACTTCAAATTACACTCTCAAGTGTTCTCATTTCAAAAGACTGAAGAGTTTAGAAAAGAAAAAGATAATTGAGAGAGGAGTTATGGGGACAGGAGCTTCCAGTAGGGAGAGTGGGTCAAAACTGGGCTGTAAAGAAAGAATGGGAATAGCCAAAGTGAAGGAAGAGATAAAGAGCTGGCAGAACTTCATAAGCAAATCAGGAACTTAAGAGTGAGTGTTGTAAACACGGTGTGAGGAGCTAATCCTCAGAGGTTCTGAGGAGTGAGATTAGAATGATAGGGTGAGGCCAGGTTGAATACTAATAGCAGCTGCTTTTATTGAGTACTCAGTCTGTGCTAAACCTTTGGCATGCATTATCTCATTGAACTCTTATTACAATTCAGTGAAATAGGTACTGCAGTTACCCCCATACTATAGATAAAATAAAACACCATAAAGAAATTCACCTAGGGACTTCCCTGTCAGCCCAGTGGTTAGGGTTCCATGCTTCTACTTCAGGGGGCATGAGTTTGATCCTTGGTCAAGGAACTAAGATCCTGCATGCTGTGTGGTATAGCCAAAAAAGAGAGAGAGAAAAAGGAAGGAAGAAATAAATGCACCTAAGGTCACATAGCTAGGAAGTGGCAGAGCTAGCAGTCAAACCTAGTCATTGTGACTGTAGAACTCCAGTCTTAACCAAAAGGCCTCAGAAGTCAAGCTGAGTGGGAGAAGATTTAGCACAGTGCCATCAACATCAGAGGTACTAAAATGGAGTGAAGGAGAATTAAAGAAGCACAGCGAAATACTTGATGGCAGTGCTTTTCCAACCTGTGCTCTCACAAACATTCCTTTTTATATTTAATAAACAGCAAGTACTTAGTAAATTACATTTGGCAAATTAGAATTAGCCAGTGGGTACCACTCATCTAACACCAAGAAGTTTGGTGATGACAGAGATTCCTAGCAGATCTGAAGGGATGGGGGAAAAGGCACCCATCCAGAAAACTGAAATTGCTCATGACTCTCAGGTTTTCTTTGTTTCCAATGACGAGGGTAGAGCCCACCATCTGTGACTCGAACCTCAAAACATATTTTCCAGGCACAGATCTGTTTCTTTCAGTCCCCATTCTCATCCTTTGCTTTATTTCCACTAGGTACAGCTTATTGAAAGCATTGGCAGAAAACTTTCTGTCCTGCGGGAGGCCCAGCGAGGACTGCTGGAGGACATTGCTGCCAATTCTGCCCTTGGGGAGGAGGTGGAGGCCAACCTAAAAGCCCTCTGCAAATCCAATGAGTTTGAAAAATACCGTTTGTTTATCGGGGACCTGGACAAAGTAGTCAACCTGTTGCTGTCGCTCTCTGGTCGGCTGGCACGGGTGGAGAATGCTCTCAACAGCATCGATTCAGAGGCCAACCAGGAGAAGGTAGGGTTGAGGTCTCCAGGGTATGGATGAAAGGAAGTGCCATCTGCTTCTTCCCAGGACTCCTTCTTTCAGGTTTGGCTAGTCTGGGAGGCAGTAGACCATAGTGTGAAGAATATGGGCATTAGCTTTTAAGTGGAAATTCTGGCTTTAGCACTAATTAACTGTGTGATTGTGGGCAAAGTCACCTAACCTCGTCCTGTCTCCATCTCTTCAAAAGTGGGATGACCCTACTACCTACCTCATGAGGTTGTGAGACTTAAATTAGGTAATCTATGTTAATAATTTAAAACAGAGCCTAGAACAAGGTAAATACTGAATCAGTATTAGCTGCCAGTGGTAGTAATGATATAGTAGTATCAAGTAGTTGAGATTAGGAGGCTGCCCATTTCATAGCTTGGAACATTCTATGTACATTCTTGAACCCAAACTGCATTGTCTCTTCCTGTCCAAGTGGTTTTTGGATACAAATTTGAATCCACAGTAAAAGGCACATATGCTTTTGCATACATACATGAATACATCCTCTCACACAAACTGTTTTGAAAACCATCATCACAGTGATGGTTTTTCACCAGATGGAACATGTGCCAGCTGGCTTTATCAGAGCCTTCCTCCACCCCAACCCCAATGTTGGTCCACAGAGTAAAAACAGTTTAGAGATGGAAAGCAGTGATCACACATCCCCCTGTCCAGAATTGCTGTTGTGTTTATCCTCCCCTTGTTATAGAAAGGAAAGGCTTTTGCATGAAGGTGGACTTCAGGGCAGGAAATCTAGACCTGATGACTGAGCAGAGGGGCTAGTGGGTTTGTGGGAGCATCCTTGATAGAGTACTGCATTGATCAAATAACTGGATTGGGATGGCCCTTATTGGTCTTCTGCTTCCCCAGTTGGTGCTGATAGAGAAGAAGCAGCAGCTGACAGGGCAGTTGGCAGATGCCAAGGAGCTGAAGGAGCATGTGGACCGCCGGGAGAAGTTGGTGTTTGGCATGGTCTCCCGTTACCTGCCTCAGGACCAGCTCCAAGATTACCAGCACTTTGTGAAGATGAAATCTGCTCTCATCATTGAACAGCGAGAGCTGGAAGAGAAGATCAAGCTCGGGGAAGAACAGCTCAAATGTCTCAGGGAGAGCCTGCTCCTGGGGCCCAGTAATTTCTAATTTCCACCAGCAGACTGCCTACACCATCCCTGCCCCACCACAGTGGGAAGTGCTTTCAGTCCTTGTTAGCAGTTAATTAGCAAAGTAGATAGCAGTTAGTTAGCAGTTTGTTCCATATTCTCTCACTGCCCCTTAACCTGGTGGTGTTCGCAACCAGCTAAGAAGGCCTGGGGAGGTCCCAAGCTTCTACCTGAGAGAGAGCAGAAGCAAGAAGTAGGAGTTGAAGCAAAGTGTGATCATATAACCACACTGCTTCTCAGGTTGCATGGCCAAGTACTCACCCCACAACAGAAGCAACAAAGTGCCTTCATTCTTCTTTGTACTAGGACACCAGGAGCATCCTGCACTCACCACCCACCCAGACTTTGAAGTCTCAGAGAGCAGTTGCCCATGCAGCTCCACTCTGTCCCAAGGCTTGTGGCCTAGACATTTCCCAGGAAGATCTGACTATCTTGAGGACTTTACCTACCACCAGCTTCAGGGTCTCACCGCAACTTTGCAGTAGAAAGCACAGACGAATAGATGACATTTAACAGACTGTGAGCAAAGGTTGAGAATCCCCAGGTACCCTGCTAGAAGGAGCTATGCTTAAAGAAGCTGGCTCTACTCCCACCTTCCGCAGCATCTAACTGAGGGATAGGAGGCCTATTTTTAGCCCTGGCTAGTGTGGCCCTCCCCTTGTACTAAGGCTTTGACTTACCACTTCAGGTTTCATCTTGCCTTTTCATTACTGGGGGTTCCAAGTGCCTATCCTAAAGGCTTCACACTATGGGGAATAGCTCTACTAAAGCTGACTTCTCGATACATGTTTTATTATTGGAGGAGAGGGGATTGTTATATTTTAAATGGCCTTTCGATTTTATTTATTTTTATGTCTTTATTATTTTTTTTTTCTTTTTTAAACTAATAAGGTAAGAGGGGAGTTAGAGAGTGGGAAGTTAGCTGAGAAAGAAAGTGTTTTCTGCAGATCAGCCTGAATCCACCATCGCTAAGGTAAGTGGGCACCAAGGCCTTGAATTCTTCCCACCATAGCTGACAAGAGTCTGAGGGAGGAGTTCTCACTTCCAACTCAGAGCTGTGGCCTGATCCTATACTTCCCTTGAAGTCTGGATGACCATGAGCTTAGAGTTCCCCAATAGGCTTCAATTTTTTCTTGCTTACTTTTTCTTGAAACCAAAGAAAGGGACAAAGGTTCACTCATTTCTCTACCATTTCCAAGCTAAGGAAGGCGTAGAGGTGAGCTCAGGAAGAGCTCCTCTATCTAATTGTTTTCTTAGCCTGTGGCCTGGCTCAAGGAAGCGAAATTCATTGATAGCTGGAAGCTCCAGCCAGGGTCAGCCCCTCAGAACAAGTTATAATCCAGGGTCTTAGGCACACAAATAATGAATGCTGCTCCTATGGTGAAGGTCCTATCACCAGTAGCCAGTTTCTGTCCTGGAAAAGCCCCCAGGTGACTGATGGCAGGAAAGGAATTGTGGCCAAACTCTGCCCTGTTATCCAGCTCAGCTCCCTGTTCCTTGTTAACTGGGGCCCATGCTTGATATTGTACAATGCTGCTCAGACAGCGCAGGCATCGCTTCTAGTTACTGCTGAATTCCTCCGGGTCCTTGGAGGTTAACTGTAGCAGCAGAGGTGCCTCATTCAACCAAAGAATTTGCCAAGGAACTCTGCTGCTGCTACAAATACTGGTTGCTAGCTTCTGTTTCCTCTTCATTGTATTTGGAAACAATGGAAGAATCCTTGCCAGCAGGGTGTCCTGGGGGAGGGGAGGGCCCTGAAGTACACTGTTGCTGTCAGAACCACTGTTAAAATATCAACCTGCCATTCTCCCATCAAGTGGAGGATTATACTTTATTCAGGATGGCTGATGGCTTATGAAAAGGCTAGGTTTATCTAAGCCAAGGTTGAGGAATATGGGGGAGTACTTCGAGTAGAGGCTGTGATTGCCATCTTTTTTCTTTTTAACAGGCTCTTAGACAAAGAGTGAGCAGGCTGAGATGTCCTTCAACTGGGGCAATAAGCCAATGTAGCCCATCATTCTAAGATTTTCTTTTTTTAGCCAGAACAACTTTTTGGGAATAGAGCCCAGGGAAAAAAGTGGCCGCTTACATGGACACCATGACCATAGTCTGGGCTTTTGTAGTCCACATTAGAATGCTGTGTGCTGTGCCTAGTTGTGTCTGAATCTTTGCGACCCCACGGACTGTAACCCACCAGGCTCCTCTGTCTCTGGGATTTCCCAGGCAAGAATACTGGAGTAGGTTGCCATTTCCTTCTCCACAGCATCAGAATGATTGTACCTTAAGTGTACCAGACTGAAATGGTGTTGGAGAAGACTCTTGAGAGTCCCTTGGAGTGCAAGGAGATCCAACCAGTCCATCCTAAAGGAAATCAGTCCTGAATATTCCCTGGAAGGGCTGATGCTGAAGCTGAAACTCCAATACTTTGGCCACCTGATGCGAAGAACTAACTCATTTGAAAAGACCCTGATGCTGGGAAAGATTGAAGGCAGGAGGAGAAGGGGACGACAGAGGATGAGATGGTTGGATGGCATCACCAACTCAATGGACATGAGTTTGAGTAAATTCCGGGAGTTGGTGATGGACAGGGAGGCCTGGCGTGCTGCAGTCCATGGGTCACAAAGAGTCGGACACGACTGAGTGACTGAACTGAATTGAAAAAGTACCATTGACTCTGGTTGTTTGTGTCCCTTATCCCACCTCCAGTTATTCTAAAATTGGAATCAGAGCACAAGAATTCTTTCTTCACACAGAGGGTCAATTTCCAAAGCACTTAGTAAAAGAATCCCCAAACTGTATTGAGCAGTGAAGCTTGGCAGACAAAGGTGAACTACCGGGCACAGATGCCCCACACTGCTGATGTGGCAGGCTCATTGTGGTGATAGCACTACAAAGTTGCCAGTATTACTTGAGATGCAGTGTCTCTTGCCTGTTCTCATTTCTTGGGCTCAGGCCTCCACCTGCCAGGAAGTAGCAGTTTGGAAGGCAGGCTGAGGGACTTCTCTAAAGACAGAGTTATTGGTCTTGACTTCTGCCTTCTCCTTTCAAATACCCATATGGGCCACAGTGGGTAATGGGTAAGCACAGTGGTTGAAATATAGAGAGGAATCAATGTAAGGGGCTCTGGGTAATTGAGTCTCCTTGAGCCCTACCAGCTGCAGACTCAGCCAGGGTAGAGCAGTAAATACTCAAGGGGAACCCAAGAGAAAGGACAGAGACACTGAAAATAAAGCCCCAGAAAGGGAGAGAGAGAGACTGGAAGCCAAGGAACAGAGAGGGCGAAAAGATGAAAAGCCACTTTAAAGGGCCAGATTCAGGTTCTGTTCTCCACTTCACCTGATGTGCCAAAAAGCTGCCAAGGGGCACCAGAGCCTCAGCCTTAACCCCAGTCTCCCTAAAGGTGCTCTTCTGCCAGTAGCAGGCCCCAAATGGAGGAAGCCAGGCGCATTTCTGGACTACTTCCTCCTATCTGGGGCTTGGTGTCTCCCACTGTTTTTGCCAAAGGAATTGTCTGTGCCAGTAATATTTCTGTAACAGCGTATTATATTCTTTGCAGATTAGTAGGTCTTTAGAGGGGGGTGGGGCAGGGGCAATTTCTGTAGAAAAAGAACAAGTGTTTGTTGTAAAACTGTTGGGGGGGCATCTATCCCATGTGAAGCTATTATTTTTCTGAATTTTATTGTTTCTGCATTTGTGTCCTCCACCAATCCCTTCTTGGCTGACATTGATAATGCCTGCCAGATTGTCATCAAGGGTCATGCTTCAATAAAAGGTGCTAAGGACAAAAAAAAATAATTCTTATGTGTTTTGACTAAGGTGTTGGAAATTCCCTCGTATTCTGCTGAAAAGTGTTAGAAAGGAATTTGGTCACCTATCCATAGTCCTTCATAGATAACCGTGTGATCAGAGCCTTACCCACAGCCCTAAACCCTTATAGCACTGATACTTCACCATTCGTTATCCCCAGTACAATAATTGAAAATTCATAAAGAGTCAACAATAGGCATGATCTCAAGTGTAGACCACAGCAGTACACAGAGTCCAGTTCTGGAGTCGATCCTGATCAGAGGTGAGCCAATTTGTAGACCTCCTCCAATCCTGAATTCTGTCTATTAGTATCATCTGACTTCTACCTGATAATTTGGTCTCACACCTTTACTCTTAGATGCTGATCAGTTCTCCAAGATAAGCTCAAAATTCAGACCCAAATGCACTCCAGGCAGGTCCTGTGACCCTAAAAAGCTTACTTGCACCTCCCATCCATACATTATTCATATCCCAACTGATCTCATCCTACTCTAGATATCCAGTGCAGTGGAGTGGAAAGAGCCCAGTTTGGGCATTAGAATGAACTGTTTTCTAATCCTGATTTTGCCACTTCTATGAATCTGGCTTATTTGCTCAGCTTCTGAGTTCATTTTCTTATCTATTAAATGAGAACAGTAATATGTATCTTACAGGACTGCTGTGGCTTAAAAATAAGAAATGATAGCCACCAGCTATCTACTGAGAGGTTGTTAGAAAGGCTGGATCCCAGTTTGCATTCAAAACCTACTGACAATAGTCTACATTTTAACTAGACTCCCAGGAGATTCATGTGCATATTAAAAGATGAGAAGCACTGACTTATCACAAACAGGCTCAGTACATAGTAACTATCATTCTAGTCATTATTTATTCAACTAATTATTTTCTAATCCAGACATATCCTTGCTCTTCTAATACTTCTCACAACTACCTGCCTATATGAATTTAGCAAGGTTGCAGCATACAAGATTGATATATAAAATCACTTCTGTTTCTGTACATTAGCAATGAACAATCTGAAAACAATTCTATTTATAGTTGCATCAAAAAGAATAAAATATTTAATACATTTAACAAAACTATAAGAATTTTATACTGGAAGCTAAGAACATTGTTGAAAGACATTTTAAAAATCTAAATATAAACAGTGCTGTGATGAACATTGGGGTGCACGTGTCTCTTTCAGATCTGGTTTCCTCGGTGTGTATGCCCAGGAGTGAGATTGCTGGGTCATGTGGCAGTTCTATTTCCAGTTTTTTAAGGAGTCTCCACACTGTTCTCCATAGTGGCCCAGAGGGATGGGATGGGGAGGGAGGCGGGAGGGGGATCGGGATGGGGAACACATGTAAATCCATGGCTGATTCATGTCAATGTATGGCAATAACCACTACAATACTGTAAAGTAATTAGCCTCCAACTAATAAAAATAAATGAAAAAAAAGAGGAAAAAATTAAAAATCTAAATATAAAGACATCCTATGTTTATGGATTGGAAGACATTATTTATATCACAGTACCACTCATATTGACCTACAGATTCAATGCAAGCATTGCATTGAATGCTTTTGAGAATCCTAGCTGGTTTCTTTGCATAAATGGAAAAGTCAAACCTAAAATTCATTTGGAATTGCAAGGGACCCAGACTAGTCAAGATAGTCTTTAAAAATAACAAAGCTGGAGGACTCACATTTCTCAATTTCAAAATCAAGTCTCACTACAGAGCTACAGTAATCAAGATAGTATGATATATGCACAAGGATAGACATATAAAGAAATAGAATAACATTAAGATTATAGAAATAAATCCTCATATTGATGATCAGTTAATTTTCAATAGTGGTGCCAAGACAATAGAATGGAGAAAGAATAGTCAACAGATGATGCAGGGAAAACTAGATATCCACATGGACAAGAATGAAGTTGAATCTCTTCCTTACACCATACAGCAAAATTAACTTGAAATGGATTATAAAACTAAATATAAGTATTAAACTATAAAACTCTTAGAAGAAAGCATAGAAATAAATCTTCCTGGCTTTGTGTTAGGCAATGATTACTTAGGTAAAACCCCAAAAGCATAAGTGACATAAATATCAATAAGTTGGAGTATATCAAAATTTAAAAACATTTTTGCTGCAAACAATACCATCAAGAAAGTGAGAAGACAGTCCACATAACTGGAAAAGTATATAATATTGGGCTTTTATTCAGAACATGTAAAGAACTCTTATGACTCAAAAATAACCAATTAAAAATGGGCAGACTTTTTTTTAAATCAAAATAGACATTCCTCCGAAGAATATATATAAATGATCAGTAAGCACAGAGGAAAATTCTCAAAACTAAGGAACTATAAATCGAAACCACAATGATATACCAATTCATATCTACTATGATGACTATAATAAAGTCTAACAAGTGTTGGTGAGGATATGAAGAAATTGAAACACATACATTGCTTTCGGGTCAAATGTGAAGTGATGTGGCCATGTTGGAAATTAATTTGCCAGTTTCTTTTAATATTAAACATAGAGTTTCCATATGACATATCAATGCCACTCTTCGGTTACACCCAAGAGAATTGAAAACAGGCATTCAAACAAAAACATGTACACAAATCTTCAAAGCAGCATTATTCATAACAGCCAAAAAGTAGAAACAACCTAAATGTCTATCAACTGACAAAGGGGTAAACATCGGTGGGTTATTTTTCAGCCATAAAGAGGAATGAAGTACTGACATCTGCCACAACATGGATGAACTTTGAAAATGTTATGCTAAGTGAAGGAAGCCAGTCACAATAGGTCACATATTGTGTGATTCCATTTATATGAAATGTCTAGAATAGGCAAATCTACAGAGGCAGAAAACAGATTAGTGGTGACCAAGGGCTAGTGGGATGGGGGAAATGAGTGACTGCATGGAGTTTCTTTTGTGGGTGATGAAAATGTCCTAAAATTAGATTGCCATCAAGGTTACCCAACTCTGTGAATATGCCATAAACCATTGAATTGTACACTTTAAATAAGTGAACTCTATGGTATATGAATTATTTCTCAAAAGTGTTTTTTTTTAATTTTTGACTATTTCTATCAGTCTCATTCCTATTGACAAAAATCTGAATTGATGGTAAGCATGTAGTTCATGTCTGAGCCTGAAAGATACAATTTTTACACCATTTTTATTTTAAGAGGGAATTTATTACACCTTTTCCCTTGCAGACTTGGCAGACCCAGCAACACAAGGAGTAAGAGTAGTTGAGACTACTCTGTCTCATGACTTCATTGCAAATAATAGGTATGGGACCTATAGAAGAGGGCAATCTTTCTAGACAAGGAGGTATAGCAGAATGGATGAGGACTTCAGCTCTTTAGGCAAATAAATCAGGTTTTAGATCCTGACTCCACCAACTTACTATGTTACCTATATGACTTACTTGACCCCTCTCAAGCTTCATCTCTACAAGAGGGCTAATAAAAAGTACCACCTCAAAGTGTTATGAAGATTAAATGAGATAATCCATATGAAGCACCCAAAATAATGCCTGCCATACAGTAAATATTCAATA